CGTTCACCGTAATGTGGACGGCAGAGCAAATTTTCCATCGAACGTCGAAATCATCGAATGAATTCGATCGAAGAGCTTCGGCCACATGCGTTCGCCAGATGTGTACGCGCCTTATGTACCGCCCAGTGACCGAAATCTCGCGAAGGCAAACACATGCGTTTGTTAGGTCGTACACATTTACCGACGGCGTTCGGTCGAAAGGCTTCGGCCACATGCGTTCGCCAGATGTGTACGCGACTTAACAAGCGAATTCGCGGAAGTATCTGTAGCCGAGGGACCCCGTCGTAGAAGAGGTTCCAAAGCAATGGCCCTAAGCGGAGCCCTCTGGCCTTCATTGTCTGTTATCGTACCATAAGCGTCCCTTGATTGAAATAGCTATTTATTATGTTCAATATATAGCTAGGGGTACCTAGCTTCTCGAGATATCCCACAATTTGTTGCCATTGTGCCGTGTTGAAGGCATCTATAACGTAAAGCGACTGTAGTTGCCGTTATTGGTTGCTTCTGTTAGCACTAAGGCGGCTATGGTACACTTTCCCTTCCTAAATCCATATTGTGAAGGAGACAGTCCGTTTTTTTTCAACGTATTTTATTATCCTACCTTTTTTCTGCCGTTATAGTAGCTTTCCTAGGGAGGCCAGCATACACAGGTCTTTATTTGACTTCCCTAACGGTGGTTTTCAGAAGTTTAGAGATGAGAACCAAACCAGCTCCAGACGATTGTCCCTTGTTTCCGTTTGTTCTGTGATACTTTCTGTTTTCTATGGTTATTTTACGTCTGATAGTGAGGCATTCTTTTCTCTTTTGCTATTCCATTATTCCACCAGTACTTTGCTCCCCTCACTTTACCATCCTCTTTTTTGTATGCATCCCCTTCCCTCCGATGTTTGGTTATACGAGGGATGTCTTTTAAGTTTTGCATATTGAAACATAGTAGGCCACGCGGATCGAACGTCAGTACTGAATCTTAACCTTACTCTTCAGTAAACTTAAATTCGAAGTTTCACAACAATACGTGCAGTGTTATCACTACAGTGAATTTTTAAGTGTCACCAAGTCATTAGAAAAATGGAACTCAGCCGAGAACATTTTCGCGCCATAATTTATTACAACTTTCAGAGACAATTATCGCAACAAGAATGCCTTGCTGAGTTATTGTCTTTTTCCCGTTGGTATGGAGAATTCAAACGTAGACGGGTGATTCTTAGCGACGAACACAGAGTGGGTGCACCAAAAACGGGAGTCACCCAGGAAAAAAAACTGATCATTGAAGATAGACATGTGACATATTGCGAGATTGAGGCGTCCTTGAAGATCTCAAAATTCAAAAAAATGTACATGAAGAATTAGGAGTAAGAAAATTAGTTTCTCGTTGGATACCCCACCTGTTGACCGAAGAGCAGAAAGCAGCCAGGGTTAATTGGTGTCAAAAAATGCTTGACCGACTCAATTCCGGAATCTCAAAAAATGTGTACAGGATTGTTAGTGATGAATCATGGATTTAGTGTTATGAACCAGAAAATAAGCGACAGTCGGCTGTTTGGGTGTTCCACGGTGAAGAAAAGAAAACAAAAGTCATCCGTTCTCGAAGTGTTTCGAAAAAGATGGTCGCGAAATTTGTGTTAAAAGCGGGTCATATTGCAACAATTCCTCTTAATGAGCAAAGAACTGTTACTGCGGGTTGGTATACCACCATTTGTTTGCCAAAAGTCTTCACCGAGCTTCGAAAAATCAACCCCGAAAGAAGAATCATCCTCCACCAAGACAATGCAAGCTCGCACACAGCCCAAAAAACAAGGCAGTATTTAACGGAAGAGAACGTGGAATTATTGGACCATCCTCCATATAGTCCCGATCTAAGTCCTAACGATTTCTTTACTTTCCCGAAAATTAAAAACAGACTGCGTGGTCAAAGGTTCCAGTCACCAGAAGAAGCAGTTGACGCATTCAAAAATGCCCTTTTGGATCTGCCAGCAAACGAGTGGGATAAGTGCTTCGAAAATTGGTTCGAGCGCATGCAGATGTGTATTAATCTTCGTGGAGAATACTTCGAAAAACGATAAAGTTATTTAAAACTACCTACCGTGTTGCTTTATTTCCATATGCAAAACTTAAAAGGCATCCCTCGTATATGCTAATTGCTGCATCCCCATCTGCGTCTTATTTTCACGGACCACTTTGTATTATTTGGATCCGATACCAGAGCAACTTCTATCAAATTTTCCTTTGCAAATTGGTCAAGCATATCGTGTGCCTCTCTGCACCAAATTTGCTTGTATTATTTTCATTATATTGTTGTGTGGGTGTTGCCTTTGTTGTGGTATAAAAGGGATGATCGGTAGGTATCAACCTGAATAGTGTGGAATACGTTAGTGACTATTTTCAGTCAAAATAAACTGGGTTATGTGTCACAATTCATTTGGGAGGAATACATGTACAGGTGAACAAGGTATCACCTAGTAAAAAAAGAATAAGAGACAGATAAAAGGATGCCAAAGGTAAATGTTGTAGAGAAAACATCGTTTTTACTATTTAAAGTCTAATTTATTACCCTCGCACTAATTTATTACAAATTTATCAGTAGGTCGAATTTTGCGCTGCTGTCTTAGCATCCGCTATCGGTCGACGTTGCCCTCTGTGCGTGTATTTATCTTCGAATCCCAAAGTATACCCGCGCTTTCGATATAAGTCGAGTCTTCATCGACGCCTTGTAGATAGCGGTACATGTTTCTTGATGCGTGGCGAACGTTGACGATGTGTGGTCTCGTAATTCGTTGCCTAAGCGTCGATGTTACGAGGGTGTCTCATTGTTGCTCAGAATTCCAGTTACTAGGGCGTTATTCTACTCCCTCCTTAAGACCACTTCTTCTTGAAACTTCCAAACTCCATGTTAGAAGGTGGCCGGACCTTACGCCCGAACAACACTTTCCCAGGGTTCTGGCCCGTTGACTCGTTGACTGCAGCCCGATACGTCATCAGGAACATGAGGAGATAACTGTCCCAATCACCTTGGTAGCTGAACACCACCTTTGACACGGCCCGGTTTATCCTTTCTACCAATGCGTCCGATTGGGGGTGTAACACCTGATACCCAGCTTCTCGCAGATTCCTTTAAAGAGCTCGCTCTCGAAGTTTCTCCTCTGGTCGGAGTGCAGCTCTAGCAGGACTTCAAATCGGCTGATAATGTCATCAACCAGAATTTCTTCAACTATGGCAATTTCTTGGTTGGGGATAGCGTACGCCTCGACCCACTTACTGAAGTAGTCCATGGCAACCAGAATGTATTTGTTCCCATTCTCCGATGCGGAAAACGGCCCCAACATGTCGATGGCTATCCTCTCAAATGGGCTGCCTAATTTATACTCCTTCATCTTGGCTTACGACTACCACAGCGGTCGCATTGCTCGCAGAACACGTTGTGAATTGCCGGCACCACTACCTGACGTCTTCCGAGCAGTTTACTTAGTTAAGCCGCTTTCGAACCTTTCCAAAGGTCCAGCCGAGATTTCAAACCGACTGCATTTCTCCGAGTTCAATTTTAAGTTTTTACCTCCGAGCCTACAGACACCTCTTCTAAACTCTGCAGGTGCCATCAAAAACGTGAAAAGAGCTAAACTCCATTCAGCTTAGTATAAATGTGGCGTTTTATAAATATTTTATGGCAGTTTGGCAACATCGCCTCGGTACATGCAGAGCCATCCATAAGCAAATCACCAAGCTAAGTACGGCACATAAATCGCCGCAATTTTTATTTGTAAACAGCAATAGTCCAAGAGCCGACCGCGAAGTTTCGGTTACTGATCTGAGATGTTAAAACAAAGAAAGACAAGTAGTTTTGCGAAAACTTAGGTGAAAAACAAAGGACACTTCCAATCCTTCTATTTTTGCCCCTGTTCCTTTATTGCTGACATGCCCAAGAGTGTACTTTGTTTTTCATCTAATTTTCTGCAAAACCACTGGTCTTTCTTTGCATTTACTCATGGGCTTAAAGTACCATGACAGGTAGCTCCATGGCGATGTTACTTAATGCCTCGTAAACACAATGTCTTCTGACAAAAGCCATAAGTGTGCCTGCAGGCTCTTGTTGGTGGCTATTTCGTTCCTTGTTTTTCTTCAGGTTACACACGTATCCAGTTGTGATGGGCATATGTTTTCACTTCAGGAATACATATGCCCTGAGGTTGATTCCTCCATCCTGGTGACGTACTGAAGCCACTAGCACAGAATCATGGGGGTGCTGATGGCGGCTAGTTCTCGACGACCTGAGTTGGACCTCTCTCCTCAGCTGTTCTTCTCGGCCATTTACATTCTTTGCGAAGATGACCCAACTCTCTACAGTTCCTGCGGCGTATAGCTCGAGTATTTTGCGTCAGCAAACCCTCTTTTATTGTTTTTTTTTTTGTGCAGAGGAAAAACATGATGATCTTCGTGTCTTCATGTGTTCGCCGCGGTGTTATAAATGCACGCATCGCTCTTTACGGTGACTGGAGGGTACTCCAAGAAAAAACCTCTGCTGCTGCCTCTTCTCCACACAACAACGGGACTAGATGAGCATTGCGTCGCTGCCTTTTTGTTGACCAGTGCTTCGAAGATTTGCTGACTAGGGTAAGCTTCTTTCGCTTCTTCAATAACCACCCCCACTCGGGCATGGCTTCCAGATACTTCTTTCAAATTCTAACGCGCAGGCCAAATGACATCCACAAACGTCTGCACTGCTAAACACTCCTTCAGGTTGCCAGGAGCTGATGAATAGACGAAGCACCCACGTGGGTAATATACACAACACACAACACAACATTCATGGCATGGAATTACCTTCCGATGCGGAAATTCGAACCCGCGAGCCCTGGGTTGCTAGCCAAAAGCGCAAACCACCGAGCTACCGAGACTCCTAAATGTATACTTACGTCTTCACCTCGATTTTAAAAAATTTACGTCGTTACAGGGTCACTCCATATCAGAGCCTGAATTTATTGTTTTAGCATTAAAGATCTTCATACCTGCAACACTGGAAGAAGAAAATTTTTGGCTTTCCGATCAGATCCGAACACTTATCGCTTGCAAATTCATCCAAAATTTCATCTATAGGTAACCCTTGATCATCCACTCCTAAGATCTCCGTGTATCCTCCAGAAACTGCTAGTTGATTTTCATTAGTATTGGTACCATGACTCATCACAATTACTATAGATATATCTGTCTCTTTCATGTCTTTTCTGAAAGATTTTATTGTGTTCAACATTTGCTAAAAATAAGAAAGTATATTTACTAAGGTCCGTTTTTTCAATCGCTGGTTAACTGTCAAGTTTGGTAACTGTAACTTGTCTCAACTATTAGTTGTCCATAAATTCGTTTCTCAAGCTCTGGCTTACCAACCCATTTCTGTTTTTCTGTCATACGCGTTTTACGACGCTCGATGTTTGTGTCTCGTATCATTCGCGGCAACTCATGCACGGGTATTACGTATCTTGAAAAGTGACATTTTGTCGGTTTTTTGACATTTTGTAGGTTTTTTATGCCATAGCGTAGGTTTTTTAACAAGATGTTAACTTAGCACAAGCTAGTAAACACGTCTGCAAGATGACATTTAGTCGTTTTTTATGTTGTTTAGGTTTTTCACATAATACCCCTGCTGGTTACCTTTAAAATCCCAGTCATTCTACAACTAAAAAACGGGCCTTACTGTAATTACACATTATACGAGTATTCACAGTTCGGCTTTCGCCTTTACCAGCTCAAAACAAACTAAGCGATACGAGGTAGGTTATACTGGGTGATTCTATAAGGTGGTTCACCCCTATAACATTTTTATTATTGAACATAGAATAACGAAATTTGGGTGTTGCTTATCATGGATGAATTTACGATTTTTGACATATTCACTTCCTTTGACCTACTTCCAGTTTGACTCGAAACGATTACAACTTTCGATTTTTAAATGGTACACCCTATATATTTTTACTTATTTCGATCGAGAATATCATTTTGAACTCAACACGCCTCACTTGTCAATATTTGACAAATAAAGTCATTTTTATTTCAATTTTTATTTTTTGACCTAGAATGCCACGGATTCTGTAAATCGCTTCATTTTTGATCAAGCAACACGAGAAGAATACGATTTTGAGGCGAACGACCTTACAGTCATCTTAAATATTTTCTGAAAGTTAGAAACACTAACTTTTTCAGTTTACTTGATTTTTTCAAATAGAAAGGGGGTGGCTCGTCAGCTTTTTCTACGACACTACACACCCTAATTCTATTTTCACTATTTTTTTGAATATGTAAATGATACGTATCTGAATTCGGTATACCTAGGCACTAAGTCCTATTATTCTAGTTATCCTTGACCAACAATTGAAGATATTGCTAAAGTTACTTCAACAAATACCGAATCGAGGTTATTAAAAATATTGTCTGTTTTAAAAATTTATTTGTTACTTAGTTAATGTAAAAACTATCCTAGAAACGAGAAAATTGACATGCTGTTGATTTACGCGGAAGCCAGAAAAAATGCAGCTCGAATTTATTATCAGAGATTCTCTAATCGTCGCGATACCACTCGGCATTATGTTCCCTAGCCGGAACATAAAATACGAATGAATAAAATGCCAAAAGCTTTATCGTCAGTGAAAGAAAAGAAATAGATGTGTTGGCATATGTTGAAGTAAATTGTTTGGAGAATTCTTCACAAATATAATTATCGATCATTCAAGTACCAATTACACAGTGGCGAAGCGTCCATGTAACCATTGTTACCATTGGTAACAGTTAAAAATCTTAAAAATAAATATTTTATGACTAAGTACTGTGAAATAATTTCATTTATTTGTTTACCAACAGCGATTTGTAAAAGTAATTCAGTAAATAGCAAATTAGCCCCACGAAAATAATGTGCCCTATAGTGTCTAGGTTTTGCGAACACGATGAAGCTGACTCGCCTCGACTTGGATACCGCTCGTGTCTGATCGCGGCCGCCCGACTGCGTGGGGCGCTGCGACTATCATGATACTATGACTATGAAGGTAAGCTCACTTCGCGGTCGAATTTCGTACGCCTTTGAGCATGACGTCACGCGGAGACCTATGTTTGGCGCGCAGTACGAAATACAGTGTATTCAGATACGATTTAGATGTAGATTTAGACGTTGTGATTTCAATATTTGGGATGTTTGATTTATATTTTGTAGTGTTTTTAATGTCACATGATTGTTTTAGTATTGCATAGTATGCATAGATTTTATTATTTATGTTTTGATGTACTTGTCAATAGAATTTAATGGAGTTTGTCAGTTGGGCCGCAAGTAGAGATCGGGCGGGTCGCGCGTTGGAATATATCATTATAGATAAGTTATGGGTTTTAAAAATGAACAGTAACATGCCACCAGCCGTTTAATAACTAAAATTTGTTGTAACTCTAAATAAAGGGGCTCACTTTATTTATAGAAATAAATAATAATTCATTTGTGCATTTTTTCAGCAGAAAAAAATAGATGACGAATATGTCGCATCTCATGTCTTTATAGTGTTATGTATAAATAGGTAGTCTACTTACATAGTTTTTCAATATTTTTATAGATAGGTGACAATAAAAACCTCATTCATTGGTAAACAGTTTTATTTAATTTATTTTACAATATTCATCGGTATAAATACACAAGTCTTATTAATAGAAAACACAAAAGAATCTCACATTTGGACCATATTGGCAAAAAAGAATATCTCAGATTTTTCCCTAAAATCTTATTTATTGGTAAACAGTTTTATTTAATTCATTTTACAATAGTCATCAGTAAAGATACAAAAGATTCATCAATAGAAAACACAAAAAAGTCCATTTCGAGCACATTGGAAAAAAAATCCCAGATTTGTCCCTTTAGGCGCCTCAAATTTTATATACTAAGTGACGAACACCCAGTTTAAATGGTTTTATTTTAATAAAATTTTGTATAAGTATTTAATGAAGCATAATAAGTAAATGATAAAAAATTCAAAATGATTGCACTGCTTTAAAGCCCTTTGACCTTTAATAATGTGTGGATGCACCCTGATGTGCTACGCATTCTCCAACGCGCCTAGGCATGCTTCTGATCAGGTGGTCAATGTCCTCCTGTGGTATCTCATTCCAGGCAACCACCAACTCCTCTCGAAGTGCTTCTAGAGTCTGAGGAGGACGTTGCAAATTGAGCAATCGCCTACCCACCACATCCCACACGTGCTCAATTGGGGATAAGTCGGGAGATCTTGGTGGCCAGGGTAACAATGTGACATCATTATGTTGAAAGAAGTCTATTGTGACTCTTGCAACATGTGGTCGGGCATTATCTTGTTGGATAGTTGGATCTGACAGGGTGTCAAGAAAGGGTAAATGAAGGCTGAAATATTCATTTTTAGATCGTTAGTGAATTAAAAAAAAGCAGTATAAAAACCGGAATGTCCAACTGATAAGGCTGAACATTTTTTCACTTGTTATTTACAGTAAGATAAATACATTCACCAACTTTTATTAAAATAAAACCATTTAAACTGGGTGTTCGGATTTATATGTATATCACTTAGTATATAATTCATTGCACAATTTTCAACTTTTTCCTTTTTGCAACCTGGGATTTTTCTTTTATGTGCCTGTTCAAACTCCTAATTTTAAAATACATCTTGCAACGAAAAAAAAGATGCTTGGCATCTGCACTCAAGCTAACTGATGCAGCTAAATCCATCAAAGATTTCAGATAATTTTTGGTTAATTTCAATGTTTCCCCATTAAAAGTGCCGAAAATATGGTCAAGTTCATTACATTTGACCATAAAATCGGCATTTGGTTTGAATAAACCACCCTCAGAGAGGTGGTTAACCCATGAAAATGATGATTCACTGTCATCTGGAATAACACCTAAATTTTCTTTTTTCCTTAACCTATATGCTATATAACCAGCCAAATTTTCTAAACCATCCCATTCTAATTCTTGGAGATGGTCAATGATTGTATCCTCTGGATCGGAATTTTTTTGTACAGGTTCATCACAATTTGGTACATTTAAAACTTCAAACATTTGTCCAGTAACAATTTCAAAGTCATCGACATCATTCTCATACACATTAAGGTCCGAAATACTACTTACACTAGCGATTGCAATATTTGGCACGTCCCCTATGGTAGCAATATTTGCTGATTTGGAAATAATGTCGTCATTTCGTCCCATGATGTAATTGCGGAGTCTATATTTGAACTGCAGAGCAGTGGGGTGATCATATAAGCCTCCAATTGCTCTAATTTGTGAAAAAAAACCTTCTAAGGGATCCTGATTCAAATTATAAGTTAATAGATATTTTATACCGAAATCCTCTTTCATGTCATAAAAAAGCTGCTTCAAAGACTGTATGCTGATTATAATACCTCGTTGAAACGGCAACAACGTGTTAGAGCCGACTTTTCTCAGATTTTGCATTGTTTTTTCCATTGACTCTAAAATTTGATTTTGCTCATCTAAAGCCAACCCATATGCCTTTACACGTTCCCTTGAATCACTCTGAGGTATTCTCGAATTGAATACGTCAAACCAGTCATTGGTGATCTTTATTAATTCTGAACATTCAACCCAATTGTTTTCACTTTTGAAAATACCTAATGATCCCAGCCTTGAAATTGCTTTTGATACTGTGTGTGAAAACAATTTGGTTGCAAATTTAACTTTTTGTCGTTGAGGACCCTTAACTGTTAAGAAATCGGTATTGATTTTATGTGCAATATTTAAGTCTAAATTTTGTGTATTTTGGAGTAAATCTACAATTGGTTTAGAGGTTATAATCTTTCCATTCATAATAAAACCATCATCAAGAAAGTGATTTCGCAATAGTTTAATCATGTGTGGTGCATCTGCAAACACATGTACTCTTTTTTGGCTTACAGGATTTGTGAACCATGTTCTTTCTTCTGTTATATTCAAGGATTTCCATAGTCCCCTGTTACTACCTCCTAAATCGGAATTAATTGCATAAACTGGGTATCCCAGATTTTCTAATTTGGAAATGATTTTAAACAAAAGATCCTTCGTTATTTTCCTGTCATAATCATAAAATATGGGCTGCTTCCACCTTCCACATATTCCACGAGCCATGACAACTTGCACATATTTACTGGGTCCTAAGGTTCTGTCACTCTTCTTATCATATTCATAACAGCTTTGAATTTTCATTTCATCAAAGAGTAGGACACATGCTTTTTCCATCATTGGCAGAGCTGTGTCTT